TAACCCAGGACACCTGGGTGCACATGTGCAATTACCTTAGACAATAACCAAGGAACACCTGGGTGCACTTGCATATTTACATCAAATACTCGGCAAGATTCTGAACATCTGAGGGGCCTTGACCATTTTCCTATATTTTCCCAGCAGTCCTTTTGTGCCTCACTCCTGAGGGACACGCAGGGCTCCTTTTTGTCCCTGTGTTGGGGACAAAGTTCCTTAAGCTTCAGTCTCTGTTCCAGGCTGACCTCCGGCATTCCAGCTGCAGGGAGCCAGGTGCCCTGTGTCTGCAGCTTGGATGTTAGGTGTGAAAGGAAAGCCCAGGCTGCTGTTCTGTGAGGAGGCAGTAAATGTAAATTTTTTTGTTTGTAAAGCAGTGTTATAGCTTGTGTCTATGTAAATAAAACAGATACCTTGCCCTACGGAGGGAATACTTATTATCTTCCTACTTTGACTATTTTGGACTTCTGGCAGATACAGGGATCTGAACCCTTGACCCTGATTGATATTACAACACCATGCTCTAACCAACTGAGCTAGCTGGCCAGCCCTGTCTTGCTACTTTGAAGAGATCCCAGTAGAAATGAAGTGAAGAATGATAACGGGGAAGTACCATAAACCCTAACCCCTGGTTAAGGGGGTGGAGTGAAATGTTAACTTTATTTTTTACAAGCCAACTTGCCAGTATGAGGAATCCTGTGACCCCGGATTGAGGGTTGAGTTTATGAGTACGCTAATGATCTGCTAAAGCTAGTGAAAAGTGAGATGGGACTCAGAGCTCATAGCTCTGTGTGGTGCCTGCCATGTGGCACGTTACCCTCCTGTGTTTGCTGCGACCAGTGTGGGGCCTAGCCCAGCGCCAAGACGCAGGGGCTGGCTCTTCCACCCGCAGGGGCGTGGCAGCTGGCAGTGCCCGTAGGGTTCCTGGGCTCGTGCAACAGAGCAGGCCATGGGTGGAGCAGGCCAGGCAGTCCTGCTGGGTGGGAGAAACATGCAGTGAGGTCAAGAGGATTTTATCCACTCGTGTATTTACCTGCCCATGCATCCACCACCCATCTCCTTCCATTAGGAGCAATTTTTTTTTTAAAGAAAACTGTATGAGTAGAAGTTGTCTAAGGCATTGGCTTTCAGTTCTTTCTTGCTTCATTTTCCTGGCACCATCTTCGGTAGCTGGAAAAGCGAGCACCTGGCAAGACTCTGCCATGTGCCACAGGACACATAGTCAGACGGTCTGTCGGAGGACCCCGTGCCACTGTGGAAACTAACCTGTGCGTCTCTCTGGCCTTCCAGGACGGTGGTGAGGAGGTGTACGGCCCTGACTTTCACAGCTTCTGAGGAGAAGGTC